CCGTGAATTTTTAAGTGAAATACAACTCTAATATATCAAAATCTAAGTTAGTCCTTCCTCTATTTGATGAAAGTTATTTCTCTTTAAAAGCTTTAATTGTTTAGAAGTTATTACGAATCAAACCGGAGTACTTTTTTTTGGGACACCCGGTAGTATAGTAGGAATTATCAAGATGATATTAACAGTTAATATGGCAATGTGATTAACGAGTAGCTTATCAGATGGAAGTTTTCTTATAAAGACATGTGTTATTCCAAAGATGTGACATGATATTTTAAATATCTCTTGTTCCATTGACTGATTCATCATAAATTTGAATGAAACTCTCTAACAAGAACCAAACTATAAAACCAGTTGAACGTTGTTTATTTTTGTCGCGTGGAAACGAGCCGTATTGCCTGGCAATTTTATCCAGCCTTTGTGGGAACGACAGGTGCAATGAAACTAATGTATCTACTGCAGTAGTGACACAAACCATCTATTTAGCTCCGTTTGAGGACTTAATATCCTGTTACCCGCGATATTATGTAAATTATTACGCACTTAAGTCTTAATCAAACCATTTCCTGTACACTTATTGACCGAATTTGCATTAAAAGACGTCTTATAAACGTCTGGACGAATTAACGGTCATTTGTTTCAATGTCGTGTATTCGCGATGAAAAGTGTTCACTGAAACCGAAACGTGGCGCACCTCTCAAAATTGCTTTGTTTTAGCTTTATTCTCTAGTTTATACAGTTACAGTAGCTACCTTTTTAAATGCATTTGCCGGTTGAAAAACTATTATGATAAAATAATGGTAAAAAAATGTCAATTAAAAAAATTAACAATGATGCTTTAAAAGTGACGCCATATTTACAGCATAATGTAAGCAAAACTTACTGAACTTCAGACGTCATGAAACAGGTTTGAACTCGCATAGTTTGCGAGTTGCGATGGGGGACCGGGCCTCTGCACTGGCTGGGGCAATCTTTTTTAGCAATTTACAGGGTTCGTAGCGGTCTTTGAAATCCTTGAAAGACTTTAAATTGGAATGCAGGTCTTTGAGAAGTCTTTAAATTGTGTGAAAAAGTCTTTAAATTCTTTAGGGCCCCTTTAGTGAGGAATTGATTAGGTTGTTAAAATAGATTGATTGAAGCAAGATTTTCGCAAATATCGACGAAAAGGCGCATTTTAGGATGTGATTTGAAGGGACTAATTACTGGGTAAAAATGTTGCTTACACTCGCAATTTTTCTGACAGCTGATTCCTCTCAAAGGTCTTTGAAAAGTCTTTGAAAATAGGCAGATAAAAACTTTGAAAGTCTCTGAATTTTTTTGGTCTTGGAGACAACGAACCATGATTTAGCAATAGGAAACAAAAGTCAGAGTTTGACGGCTTGAGATTTGATAAATAAAATTTCGCCACAGAACAGGAAAATAATCAAATCACACAAAGCTTGAGAAGAGAATGTTATTGAAAAGAGACACCTATTAAATCTGGTCGATAAATATTGCAAAAAGATACTGAGAAAAATGGAAATTTTCTATGCTATAGCATGCACAAGACCTTCTGACACAGGTTTGCAGTTAGCTCCACTCACTTGTAGGTAACGCGATCACCCTGGACCTCAACATCTGACGCTAGTACATATACCTCTATTTTCAACGGGCACTCGACCGTTATTCCAAAAATGGACGACCTAATTATTCGATCATTCTTGATGTTCATATTATTGTGTTTTTTTTTAGTTTTAACAAGACATATTTCAACTTCCAGGAGCAACAACAGAAATGGTCTCAAAGGTACATGTATCGCCAGAGCTCTGTTTAGGGAACTTCATTTTTCCTGGGGGGGGGGGGGGGGGGGGGGGGGTGGGAGGTAAAGATTTTTCGCACAGAGAAAAGTGTGGAAATTTGAAGACTATACTCTTGGCTTTCTTGCCATCCTACTTTTTTCTTTTCCCCCCATTAAATCCTACATTTTAAGACGGCTTTAATGGGGATCATTATGTCATTGTCTTAACCCTCTGTTAAAGATGTGACGAAAATTTCTCAGTGACGGTTTAGCACAATCTGTGACCTATTTGAACAATCTATAATGACCACATATATCCTTCCACTAGAGTAAGCTTGGCTGCAGGGGAGGTGGCCAATTTTGTAAACATCATCATAAATCGTTAAACTGTGAAATAAGTTATTTTCTTTACCTCTTGTCATTCTTGAGATATTGAAATAAATCTATGACGTCACAAGCTGGTCAACTATTTTCAAAGATGGCCGTGACACCAAAGTCATAAAGCCCACTGTTTAAAATAGATCAAATCATTCAGAATTCAGATCTAATAATAATAATAAAATCTTTATTTATACTGATAAAAAGACCGTTCAGTCAATTACATAGATTGGCTGGTATCAATCGGTCATCAGTGAATAACAAGTATATATACAATAACATAACATAAGTGCGTAACAGTGCATAAATAAGGCTATATGATGTAAAATGTCTACATATAATTATAAACTACAATTGTGCGTAACAGCATCCATGTTTATCAAGTATTTAAACACTTCATTCTTGAACCGCACAAGTGTTTTTATTTCTCTTAACTCTTTCGGTAGAGAATTCCATGCAATCTCTGGCAGCCGAGAATCTGAACGAGGTCTCGCCACATCTAGTTCTTACTGGCGGTAAATCTAGTAATGTTGGATCTCAAAGAGATCGACAGTGCATTTGATTTGTGATCTTTTTCGATGATTCAGTTGACTAATCTAATATACAAAAAAGTGAAGTTTTAAGGGTCCTGTGAACTGTCAAAAAGTTGACCCAGCGTGTGACATCATCTGATTCACATACCAAACGAACTAAAATATCTTGTAAAATGCCTTATTCTACATTTTAAGGAAACGTCCTTAAATTTTGTTGCTAATAACTTCAAGGTTTCAGAACACCTTTTAGTGTTAATTTTGCCTAAAATTTTTTTATTGGTTTCCATGAAAGCATTAGACTAGTTCTACTATCTGACCAAGTTTGAACGAAAAATGTTGAAAACTCGCAGAGTCATTTAATAAAATACATTTCGCTGCAATAAGAAAAACATTGAAAATGTAATATTCAAATTCAATTTTCTCCCGAAACATTTTACGATAATTACTGATTTTCAAACGAGTTGTGCTCCTGCGGGTTTTAACCAATTTTTCTCAAATTTTTACAGGACATAGCTAAAGACGTCAGTTTCAAAATTTAATTTTGGATATTTTAAAAATAAAGAGCAATTGACTCAAACAATTCAGAAATATATTGCAGTCGTCAAAGAAATCGCCATATCAGCGGAATGACGAAATAAACAAAAATTTCCGAACACAGTTTTTTAGAACAACTATTTTACTGTATAAAAATGATATTTTCATAAATATAACTTAAAACCAGCAGGAGCACAACTCAAAAGCGTAACGGTATCGCGATTTAAGATTTTCCTGAATAATTCTTACATTATTTTATTGTTTGTTAATTTTACAACATTACCATATTTTGCATGCACTGGAGAACATTTGGTGAAAATTTGATGAAAATCGGACTGATATTGAGCGCGCAGTAGCGATATTTCGCAAAACGTCAAAAAGGGTGTTATTTTTGAGTTACTTGCATCTCCAAAAATTCCTATTTTTGTCCTACTTTTTTTATATTTTTTCCTACTTTATTCCTACTTTTCCTAAAATTCTAGTCTTACTTTTTGCATAAGAATGCCATGCAGGTTCTTCTGTGGCCCCTTAAGGCCATGTTACACGGTGCAATTTTTCTTGCAACTTGCAATGCAATTCTACTCTTGAGAGATGTTAATTAGTGAAATCAGTGAAGAATTTTCGATATGTTGAGAAAACAACAGCGGAGTGTAATGAAGACTCGTATTTGGCAATTTTACATCTCTCAAGAGTAGAATTGCTTTGCAAGTTGCAAGAAAAATTGCACCGTCAGGCTTTTTTTCAGGGATTTTTTAGGGCCATTAAACGGCCCCCAAAACTCAATCTTGAATCGAGTTTTGAAACTCAATCTTCTCACCAAAGTTTCAGTGCAGTAAAAATGAAGTTGTTTGAGTTAAATTCGTGACGTGTGGAAATTAGTTTTCAGTTGGAAACTCGACAATTAATAAAAAATGGCTGGAATTCATCTCACAACACAAGAGAAAAACTATGCATTCGCCATCTTTGACCAGTTTATAGTGTCCCTCAGTGCCCCTGCTTTACCACATTCCGTCTCAACTACATTAATTGAGTACAAGTGTCAGCCCCCCCCCCCCGCTAGGGGGGTGCAACCACCCCAGCTGTTCAGCTAAACCCAATCTTCTCTGCAAAAACGGACCCAAGAGAAAATCCTGAAAAGACCCCTGACCGTGTAACATGGCCTTTATTAACTGCATGTATGAATTTTGTAGGATCAAAGACTAAAGCCGAAAAGAATATTGTCTTGGTTGAAGGCGTACGAACACCCTTCTTGGTCTCTGGCTCTGAGTAAGTGTTTCTGTATTGCATAGTTGTTTTCTTTCAAACAAAGTTAGATCTAGGAATCTTCATTGTAATTTCTGAATGAGACGTGTTATTTTCCGCTGGCAGAGGTACTAAAGAAGCGGAAAATGTTTTCTCTCTGGGGGCCCAATAGAGATCGGGTGGTGCAGGTTAAATGAGCACATTTTTGTTGTTGCTTAGCTTGACATAAGTTCCACCCGCTCACCCTTTGTTACTAAGAAAAGTTAGAACAGACAATTAAGTTAAATTATGTAATGTATGTTATAGTAAAACTAGCATTGTGTGAAAAATAAATGTCAAGCTTGCGACAGATCCTTGCGGCGAGAAGTGAGAAATACAGGGTGTATCAAAAAAGCGCAATCCTCGACTGAAATGTAAATTGCTAAACAAATAATGGACGAAAACGTTAAAGTTTACATTCATTTTAAAGCGTAGCCATTCAGCTTTCTAACAGTGGGTTGTTTCTTAAATTTGACTCATTGGTTCGCGGGTAATAATATTTTACGTTATTGCGATTGGAGATTAAAAAAATTGAGATGGAATAACAAATCGCTCTCATGAAAATAACTGATTTTTTCATTAAAACAAACAAATGTTGCATTTTACTAAATGGATTGTAACAATAAGTATAATTACGGCTTTTCTTCCACTATTTTTAACTCAGTTTGAAACTTCAAATGCGATATAATTTTGGCTTGGACCATCTAAGCTGACTGACATCAACTTGCTATAATTTCTGTTTACATTACATCGCAATTCGATGACACTCTGGCTCAGACACCAGAATGTTTTGACGATTTTTAGCATTCGTTTAGGATTTTCAAACAACCTGGTCTCTTTTAAAATCCCTTTAATTTGTTCTTACGTGGTTTTTCCAGATGTAGTGACGACAACATTAAAGTTTAAAGAAGAAAATTCTAACATTTAAACCGACTAAACAATAACATAGTAAACTTGCATAATTAAACAGCAACTAAAAATTATAGGTTTTACTAAATCTTTTCCTGTGACTATTATCCTTGTCTCCAATGCTAGTAATAATTGCACAGTGTGCAATTATTACTAGCATTGGAGACAAGGATAATAGTTTGTTTGAAAGAGAAAAGAACAGGCTTTGAAGTAAGCCTAAAAGCGTTTAACTAGAAATAGTATTTCGAAAGTTATTAAGCACAAAAGATGAATTGCGTTTATTTTGATACACCCTGTATATATCTGCGACAAACTAATATTTACAAATTACCATTGCGCCTTGACATGGAATATATGTGGTGATCAATATGAACCTAATGTGTTTTTCTTCTTTTTAGTTACAAAGATATATTGGCTCATGATTTAGCGCGAGGTGCACTACAGTAAGTAAAACTATAACTTAACATCGATCATCATTGAATACCACGTAATTCATGTAACGCTAAACAAACATCATCCAAAGTACTGATTAATACTATGATCATAAGTCCATACTAAAGGCTGAGTTCCACTGTTGCGTTTTTCGTACGCACGTACATGCACGTAAAATTTGGAATCTTTTATTTTTTAAATATTTTACAAATAAGTTAACAAATGCACACTAAAACTTGTGGAACACCAAATTCTGTTGCTTTATTTATTTGGTTATTTCATAAGTAACATTTAAACGGATTTAAAGTTTTACGTGCGTATACGTACATACGAAAAACGAGCAAACAGGCTCGGTTTGTCTGTCAAGATGATTTACACGCGCAAAAATTCGTCTGAGCAGACAAAGCACTGTATACACAGGTAGTTCCTCATGGCAAATGTTGCGTCTGTTTTCCCACGCTTTCCTACGCAGTCGAATTATCAGACGCATTATCATTAAGTTCGTCTATGCGCCAGACGGATCGTCCCGACTCCATCTTTATGCATCAAATCGGACCATGTATGCACTTATTGTTCCTACGTTGTATTTTTATAGGGGCCTTTTGAAACGAACTGGATGTCCAAAAGGTTAGATTCATGTGTACATAATGTGCATTCTATACAGGGCTTGAAATTTGCAGATCCCAATATCTATGCAGGAGACCAGTTTTTAAATCTGGATACTGGACTTACCATTACCAGTTTTCGTATTGCTATAATATCCGAATGGAGGATAGTGCTGAAAATGTCAACTTTCAAGCCCTTGTCATATGAACATGGAGTATACCAGTTTTGGTGACTTGGGATGAACCTACAGTTATCCCGAATATTTTGCGAAATGTTGGCTTGGCACTTTGTATGCACTATTTATAAATGTACATTTATTCCGTACGAATTAAATTTGGAAGTCATCAATGTAATTAATATTAGAGTTGAAATTATTAGAAACTTCTTTTAGATGCTGTTGATTACATTGTTTTTGGTACTGTCATTCAAGAAGTGAAAACGAGCAATATAGCCAGAGAGGTGGGTGGTAAAGTTCTTGTCACTAAGTTTTTCTTGACAAGTTTACTTGCTTGTCTGTACGATGAATTTTTCCTGGACAAACGTCGACAATTTCATGATTCAAAGCTGCTTGCAGAAAAATTAATAAACAGCTGAAACTGTTTACGATACTACATTTCAATAGCAATTTTTAAAATATACGCGAGATTTAATGACAGTGACGTCGCAGAATAAAGATCAATACAGAAGGGCCCGCGCATGTTGCATTACGCATGTTGGCCGCCATTTTCCTAGCCAGTCAATGACATTTTCTGGCCAATAAACACGCTGTGCTGGCTGGCTGCTCCACCTTCTGGCCAGTAAACTGCATATTTTTGCATAAAAAAACGAGGACACGTTGCACCGCTGAGTGGCCCTTCTGTTACTGATCTTCATTCTGTGGTGACGTTGTTCACAATTAGCCTTTCTCACGATGACGAATATCCGCCATTTTTGGGTGGCATCCAATTCTCGTTAACCAATGCAGACAATTAAAACAATGTAAAAAGCACTTTTTCAAAATAAACTAACCATTCACAAAGCACATTTACCATCATTTGTCAAAAAAATTATAAAAAATCGCTGTTATGTGGACTTGTCTCGCAGACTTCGGTTGAAATGCCACCCAACTTTTTCACCTTGTCAACTTTTTCAACACGAACAATTCTCCTCATTGAAAAGCTGGCACGAACAGCTTTTCATGGCATGAACAGCTTTTCACCAACAGCTGACGTGAAGGCTCTTTTCAAGGAAAAACTGAATTTTTATATTTTTTAGGCTGCTTTAGGCGCTGGCTTTTCTGACAAGATTCCAGCACATACTGTTACAATGGCTTGTATATCGTCAAACCAATCCATAACTTCAGGTATTGTGCATGTGTACTTCATGGCTGACTGCATGAGACTGGAGTGATTACTGAAAAACATCAAGAACTACTTTCCAAGGGCGTGGACACTCGAAATTGGCACGCGCGGTTCCACAGTATTCTTCTTTCGTTTCTAGCAATGGGTATATTGGCAAGTGGTGGAGCAGACGCGGTCATTGCTGGTGGTGTTGAAACCATGTCTGATGTACCAATCAGAGTGAATCGTTCCTTAAGAAAGATATTACTCTCGCTGAACAAGGCCAAGACCATGGGCGCACGATTGGGATTACTGTCCTCTATCAGACCAAAACATTTTGCCCCTGAGGTATGATAGTTTATATATTGTTATGTTACGCGGCCACAAAGATTACGATTACGATAGCATTTGTCTTGGCAACGTTTTGTTTTGATTTGTTTTTTTAATATCAGGCACCATTTTGTTTTCCGGTTTGTTTTTCAAATAAAATTCTTTTAAATAAAAAATTTTAAAAATTATTTTTATGAATTTCCTTATAGCAGCGATAGATGTGATCCAATGCGCGCTTTACATCAAATTATTATGCTCACCAAATTTGTATACGGCTAAAATCGCACAGGTTGTTCCAAGTTGATATCGACAGGCGTGAACAATGTTGTGCGACCAACTATGAACAAGTTATCAACCATGTTGTTCCAAGTTGTTACAGTTGAACAATGCTGTAACAACATGTTGACAATACTGTTCATAATGGGCAGCACACCCTTGTTCACGCCTGTCGATATCAACTTGCAACAAGTTGTTGATTTTCTCAATTTTTACGT